GGCGGGGGCGCCCGGGGTGGGGGGGGGCCGGCCGGTGGGTTGTACATCGGCTCCGGCGTGGGCTGGCCGGTGGGCGCCTGCCGGAGCCTGTGGGTGTGGAGCACACCGGCTGGCCGGGAGGGGAGTGTGAGGAGCCTCCCATCTCATTTTCCTCATCTGCAAACCCGGGCCGGTCCTGCCTGCAGGACGTAGAGGGTGTTAGCTGAGTGCGTGTTTGGGGTGCAAGCTGAGCCCCGACGGTGTGTGCTCCGGCCACGGAAGCTGCTGCTGGTGATGCATGCTGCCTCCCCGCTCATGTAACACACGGGATATGGGGACGTGGCCGCACTCGAACCCATCCGTCGTCGGCCCTCTGAGCTTGCTCCCGGGGTAGGCCCCTGTGCTGAGGCTCGCCTGTTTCCAGTCGCCATTAGGAAAGCTGAGCCTCCATGGCTTCTGGGAACATTTCACCTGGAAATGGTCAGCTAAGCCCACCGCTAAGCCTCAGACTGTGCTAAGCACGTCCCTCTGTCCTGTTCAATCTGTCTCTCAGGAACCTGAAAATTGCCCGCTTGGACAGGCTGTCCTCGACGTTCTTTGAAGTAGCCAGCTGGCCCTCTTGTCACGTCTCACACCAAGGACTTTCCTTCCCCTCCGGGAAACTCTCAGTGAGGAAAAGCCTCAAGCCTTTGGCTCAAACTCAGGAAGTAAGGCTGGGCGCTCACGTCTGGGCAAAGTGCCCTTCCCTGGCACTCAGCTCTCTGCCGAAGCAGCTGGTGGGCTTTGTGTGCGGAGGGGTGGGTGAACAAGAGAATGATATTGTGGTTCTGGCAGAAATCTCGCTGTTTTCACAGATGTACTCCATTGGATCAGAACCTACCTATGTAAGCAGGGAGTATACGGCCAAACCTTCCTCATTTCAGCCTTGCCTTTACGGTCCCGGAGTGTGCAATGTCAGAGTAACAATGACACGAAACAGACTTTGTGCAGAAAATGCAATAAAATCTCTGATTTAAACATTCATTCCGGCCACATTTGGGGGTCTAGATATTTGTCAAGAGATGTCTCAGGGCCCATTCCTTGGGGACTCGCAGCTGCTGGTGAGGGGAGAAGGCATGACCATCTCTGACTGACAGGTGACAGTCATGGGACCACTCAGAGATGGGGCAGGCCTAGAACCCACCGTCTGGGAGCCTTGCTCCAGGGAGGGTGGCCTTGTGGGGACCCTTCTCCTGGGCTGTCCTCGCAGGCCACTAATCCCGGACGTGCTGTCTGCAGCACCAGGAGGGTGCTGGTTGGACAGGTCGCACTGAGCCATAGCATGGAGATGACATCGGGAGGATGACAGACACAGACTGGAGGTGGTGGTGCCCCCACGGGAGGCCGTGGGGCGCGACTTACTTTCTGGAGGGACCCTATCTTTGTGCGGGCATCCGGACAGACTGCGGTGATGCGGGTAAAGCCCGGTTACATGGCCGGTTCCGTCACACCCGGGGGTTGGGCACTTGCTCTCTTTCTTTTCTGTTCTTGAGGGATCTAAAAGCGACAACAGGTGCCAAGAGAGTGAGCGTTTACCAACGGCAGACAATGTGGTTAGTAACAAGCTGAAGAGCCCTCCGTGAGGGGGCGACAGAGCAGCGGTCGGGGACAGGCTGTGACACTGTCCTTGCCTAGGAAGCTCTGTGACAGGGTGAGTGCCAATGACCGTGTGTCCGTTCGTGTTCTCTAAATGAGAGCCTGCCTCCACTCCTGACTGCCGACTGTCCCGTGTGTTACATGACAAGCTGCTCGAAAAGACCAGCGCGCACAGCAATGAGTGGCCTTCTCAGAGACCGAGCTGGGAGCCACCGGCAGGCACAGTCTGGGAAACCGGCCCGCTACACCGCGGCCACACGCCCTGAGCAGAGCTCTGGCTGCACATGCTGTGAGCTGCTGGCTTTCACAGACATTGACATGGGTTCTCTGGATGCCAAGGAGCGTGTTTCTCGGCCCTGCGGCCCAGCGTTCCTGCAGACCAGCTGAGCTCTCAGAAGGCACTTGAGCAAATGACCAGAGAGTGGAGAGCCCCCGACCACCGACGTGGTGGGTGGTCAAAATGTGTCAGAAGCCCCTGGTGCAACCACTGCTTGGTCTTGGGACCCAGAGGAAGGCTGCTCCCACAGCACAGCGCATGCAGACACGCCGTCGGCCCGGGGCGCCCCTGCCCAGCGGCTTGGCTGACTCCACTGCTGGGCAGATGAGCAGACATCTGGGCAGAAATGGATGCTGGATGCCAAAACCCTGATGACCTCTGCACCCCAACTGCCCCGGCCCCCGTGCGTGCCGTGTCGGAGCTCAGAGAGCTGTCCCTGTAGCGGCTGGGGCCGCACAGCCAGCAGAAGCAGGGCAGACAGCCCCAGGGTGGAGCCAGCGTTTGAACACCAGTTGCTTAGATCGCCAGACAGTGACCACCCTGGCTGGTTGGAGACTGCTCTGGTTACATTTTCTTTCGGGATTTGATTTTTTCCTGTCGATACCTCATTCGGCAGGCCAATCATGATGGCTGGAAAATGAATGTGTTGGTTAAGAAATGACCACTTTGTACCAAGAACAAAACTCAGGTTCACGCTTTTAAATTCTTGTGGGCTTTCTTCAAAGTCATTCTGTGACCTTGATGCGGACAAAGGGCTCAGAGGGTGTGTCCATGCGGTGGAGCTCCAGTGGGAGGCACCCCTGAGCTCACGTCTGGTGTTTAATCCTGCACCTCTCTGGGCCCAAGCCCCTAACCCAGGGCCGGGCACGGCAGGACGGCCTTTGCCCAGCTCAGCACCCAGCCGTGTCTGTCCTCCAGAACCCTCTGACCACGCGTGTCCGCACTAGGCTGTGACTCCGCCCCTCCTCGCCGTGCCGGAGCCCCTCCCACACGTGCATACTGGAACCTAGTGCTGTGCTACTTCGGAGTGGTTGCACGCTAATATGGACATCGCTCATTAGCGCAGGCATAAAACAGTCATGGCTTCAAAGGGAGCTATTGACTGCTAGGGATGACACAGCAGCGGAAGATATTTAACCAGAAGGAGATATAAAAAGCAAAGATAACTATTTTTAATTGGTAAGTGACTCTATTTTATCAGTACACTTATGGCTTCCTAACAAACGAGATGACTCCACACATTTCAAAAGTGCTCTGAAACGAAGCACGGATTTGTATCGGGTCAGCCAGCCCACAACCAGCCCCAGCCCATGGCCAGCCCCAACCCACGGCCAGCCCCAGCCCACGGCCAGCCCCAGCCCACAACTAGTCCCAGCCCACGGCCAGCCCCAGCCCACAACTAGTCCCAGCCCACGGCCAGCCCCAGCCCACAACTAGTCCCAGCCCACGGCCAGCCCCAGCCCACAACTAGTCCCAGCCCACGACTAGCCCCAGCCCACGACTAGTCTGGCTTTGGAAGGGAACGAGGGCCTAGCCTCCTCTCGGTGCGCAAAACCCGCTGGGGGGAGAGTGGGGTGTGCCCTCACCATGGCCGCCCTCTGATTTCTCATGCTCGCAATTCCAGTTCATTTTAAAAGCAAGCAGTCAAGCAAACCAAATAACCACACAAGCGGAGCCCAGTGATTTAACCAAAAACCTTGCAACGACTTACAGGAAAAAAATGTATGCTGAGTGGGGGCCACTGTCCTTGACTCCCATTAGAGGTGGTTGTAGGAGTCAGAGAGAGGGCTCCATGATGAGTTTCTTTTGTATTAGCTCAGGATTTTGGAAAAGTTACACACATACACATATATGTGTGTGTGTTTGTATGTGTGTGTGTTTGTATACACACACAAACACTCTTACAGATTTTTGCTATAGGGTATGCGTGTTAGCCAGAGAGACAGAGAGGAACAGAGACAGAAAGTGAAGACTCATCCTCAGGGGGGATGGCCATGCCGCAACGCCTTCTCCTCCATTCTTCTCTCAGGATCCTGGGCATGCACCTGTGCCTGGCATGAGTTTCAAGCCACTAGGTCCAGGACTTGAACTGCGGTCAGCCATGTGGAAGTCCAGCACCTTAACCACTACACCACCTGCTGGCCCCGTTCATCAATAATTTAAATCAGTTTGAGAAGATCGTGAAGAAACAGGATCTGCTCTAGGTGTTCTTTCCGGTAACATGGCAGCGTAGCTGAAAATAGAGACTGGCGACTATAGAGCTGGGACACCGTCCGCTGGCCAGCGTGAGACGGCACCGTCACTGCGGCATTTCTTAATGGAGCCTGAATCTCTGAGCTCCACCCTCGGCCTGGCTTGGCTCCCTTGATTCTGAGTGTTAGGTCTAGATATCTTCAAAAGAATTTGGAACAATGTGAAGAGTACCGAAAGGAAATGGGAAAACAAAACCAAACCAAAAACCTAAAACTTTGGTCAAAGGAAGAAGATCTGGAAAAGTTGGGCGAGGCAGACACCAGTGCCTTTCAACTCCTGGGCATGTCCAAACCCCCTCCCCTCACACTTTTGCACAAAAACACGTCTCAGTTTGTGCTGTTTGTTCCCAGCCCTGGCCCATTTATTTAGGGGAAGCAAGCAAGTGGCTTGAATTCCATTTCTTGCAAAAGAAAATAAAAAACAACAACGAAACAAAACCAGTCAAAATTGTGTAAAGCGGCAGAGTTTAGAGACCATAGGAGAGAGGCCACGCCACATGGGGGCCACAGTGCAGAGCAGCCCACACGCCCACGCCCACACGTCCACACGCCCACACACCCAAGGGCCCACGCGCCCACACCGTGCTTCTTCCTG